GTAGACACGGCCAAGACCGTGCTGACCGGCACCAAGGACACAGTGACTACTGGCCTCATGGGGGCGGTGAATGTCGCCAAAGGGACTGTCCAGACCGGCTTGGACACCTCCAAGACCGTGCTGACCGGCACCAAAGATGCTGTGTCCACTGGACTCACAGGGGCCGTGAATGTGGCCAAAGGAACAATCCAGACCGGCATGGACACCACCAAGACTGTCCTAACCGGTACCAAGGACACCGTTTGCAGTGGGGTGACCGGTGTCACCAGTGTGGCCAAAGGGGCCATCCAGGGGGGCCTGGACACAACAAAGTCTGTCCTCACTGGCACTAAAGACACTGTGTCCACTGGGCTCACAGGGGCAGTGAACTTGGCCAAAGGGACTGTCCAGACTGGTGTAGACACCTCCAAGACTGTGCTCACAGGTACCAAGGACACCATCTGCACTGGGGTCACCGGTGCCATGAGCATGGCCAAAGGGGCCGTCCAGGGGGGCCTGGACACCACCAAGATGGTGCTGACCGGAACCAAAGACGTAGTGTCTGCTGGGCTCATGGGGTCAGGGAACATGGTGACAGGGGCCGTCCACACTGGCCTCAATACCTTCCAGAATTGGCTACCTAGTACCCAGGCCACCTCCTGGGGTGGATTCACCAGTTCCAGGACCACGGACAGTGGTGGGGAGCAGACTGCCCTGAGCCCCGGCAAGACCCAGTTCTCTGGTGTCTCCAGGCCCCCAGATGTGCTCACAGTAGGCCCGGAGCCTGCCTGGGAAGCCACAGTCACTGCCAAGGGCCTTGTACCTGATATGGCCACGTTCACCCAAGGGGCCGCCCCAGGCAGGGAGGACACGAGGCCCTTGGCCACCACACCTGGCCCCGAAGAAGCCCTGCGCTTGGCAATGCTGCGAGACGAGTTGGAGGGACTAGGTGACATCTTTTACCCCATGAATGCGGAAGAGCAAGGTGAGGAGATACCTGGGTCTCCGGGTCCCCGGGTCCCCGAGACAGGCACAGCTACTAGGGGGCCCTTGACTTTTTTTTTTTTTTTTTTCTTTTGAGATGGAATTTCACTCTTTTTCACTCAGGCTGGAGTGCAGTGGAGCGATCTTGGCTCACTGCAACCTCTGCCTCCTGGATTTGGCGATTCTCCTGCCTCGGCCTCCCGAGTAGCTGAGATTTCAAGCACACACCACCACACCCGGCTAACTTTTTCTGTATTTTTGGTAGAGATGGGGTTTCTCCATGTTGGTCAGACTGGTCTCGAACTCCTGACCTTAGATGACCTGCCCGCCTCAGCTTCCCAAAGTGCTAGGATTACAGGCGTGAGCCACCGTGCCCGGCCAGCCCTTGACTTTTTAAAAAAAAAAAAAAAAAAATGCATTTATTTGGTTTACTTCAAACGGGGATCTCGCTATGTTGAGGCTGGTCCTGGGTTCAAATGATCCTCCTGCCTTGGCCTCCCAAAGTGTTGGGATTACATGCAAGAGTGCCCAGCCCTTTTTCCTTTTTTTAGAGACAAGGTCTTACTCTGTTGTCCATACTGGAGTGCAGTGCTGCGTTCACAGCTCACTACAGCCTCAACTTCTTGGGCTCAAGTGATCCCACTGCTTCAGCCTCTCAAGTATCTAGGACCACCACACCCGGCTATGTATTTTAGGTAGAAGACAGGTCTCCCTATGTTGCCCAGGCTGGTCTCAAACTCCTGGGGTCAAGCATTTCTCTGGCCTCAGACTCCCAAAGTGCCGAAATCACAGGCATGCTCCGCCAGACCCAGCTTTATTTTTATTTTTGAGACAGAGTCTCACTCTTATCACCCAGGCTGGAGTGTAGTGGCAGTGTTGACTCACTGCAACCTCCGTGCTTTCCGGGTTCAAGTGATTCTCCTGCCTCAGCTTCCCACGTAGCTGGGATTACATTACAGGTGCCTGCCAGCACAACCGGCTTTTTTCAACCTCCACCCTCCTGGGTTCAAGCGATTCTCCTGCCTCAGCCTCCCGCCACCACATCCGGATAATTTTTGTATTTTTTAGTAGAAATGGGGTTTCACCATATTGGACAGACTGGTCTCGAACTCCTGACCCCGTGATCCGCCTGCCTTGGCCTCCCAAAGTGCTAAGATTACAGGCACACGCCACTGCCTGGTCTTTTTTGTATTTTTAGTAGAGACAGGGTTTCACCATGTTGGCCAGGCTGCTCTGACTCCTGACCTCATGATCCATCCGCCCGCCTGCCCACCCGCCTCAGCCTCCCAAAGTGCTGGGATTACAGGCATGAGCCATCACGCCTGGCTTCACTTGACTTTTATAAAGCCCAAGCCCCGGCCGGGCGTGGTGGCTCATGCCTGTAATCCAAGCCCTTTGGAGGCCAAGGCAGGCAGATCACCTGAGGTGGGGAGTTCAAGACCAGCCTGACCAACATGGTGAAACCCCATCTTTTTTAAAAAAATAAATAAATAATAAAAATTTAAAAATCCAAGTCCTGACACCCTGAGGGGCTCCTGGGACTGAGTAGTATGCCTTCCTTTCCAGCTCAGCTGGCTGCCTCCCAGCCTGGGCCAAAGGTGCTGTCAGCCGAACAGGGGAGCTACTTCGTTCGTTTGGGTGACCTGGCTCCCAGCTTCCGCCAGCGGGCATTTGAACACGCAGTGAGCCACCTGCAGCATGGCCAGTTCCAAGCCAGGGACGCTCTGGCCCAGCTCCATGACTGCTTCAAGCTGGTAAGAGCTTCCCCCTGCTGCTGCCCCTGCCCCAAAGCACTTCTTAGAGCCCCTGCCCGGGACTCGCCCGGCTGCACGTACCTACTGAGCGCCTAAGAGATGATGTCCGTCGTGTCATAGATGGCCATGGCTCTGCACTCTTGGGGCTTGTGTCCCGGTGAGGTGGGCAGAGCTAGATCAGATCCTTAGACAGTGGGTAGGCCGGGCGCGGTGGCTCACACCTGTAATCCCAACACATTGGGAGGCGGAGGAGGGTGGATTACGAGGTCAAGAGATCAAGACCATCCTGGCCAACAGGGTGAAACCCCGTCTCTACTGAGAATACAAGTATTAGCTGGGCCTGCTGGTGCACACCTGTAGTCCCAGCTACTTGGGAGGCTGAGGCAGGAGAATCACATAAACCCAGGAGGTAGAGGTTGCAGTGAGCCACGATCGCACCACTGCACTCCAGCCTGGGCAACAGAGCAAGCCTGTCTCAAAAAAACCTAAGGCAGCAGGGACACAAAGATGGCAAAATAGTCTGTGTGCACAGGGGGATGTGGGCTGGGCAGGAAGGCCGTCCCCCTGGGCCCTGTCCTGACCAATGGGGAGACAGTTGTGCAAAGCCCCCAGGAAGGCAGGGACAGCAGGACAGCAAGCTGCCGGGGAGCAGAAAGGCAGTGCTGTGGCTGGGGCAGATGACGCTGGAATGGGATCCAAGGGGCCATAGGGCATGGGGCTGCAGTGTACGCGGGGAAGGACCCAGCACAAGACCTGATGACCCCCCAGGGAACATTAGCCCATGTCAGGGGACATTTGTGGTTGTGACATTGAATCAGATGGCATCCAGGGGTCGGGTACCCTGACCAGTAGTGGTCCTCCCCTCCCCCTGGCCCCACTCTCCTCCTGTGGCCTAGGGTACCCGCTTGGCAGTGTGGATGTTGGGGCTGGATCATTCTCTGGGGTGGGGTCATCCTGGTCACTGCAGGGAGCTGAGAGCTACGTCCCTGGCCTCCAGTTTTTCCCTCCCCAGTCCTGAGGGCCTGAGTTTTCTCTAGAAGCTGTGGTGTGTTCCTTGAGGGCAGAATCTCACAGGACTGCTATAGGGTATTTTTGGTTTTTTGTTTTTTGAGACTTGTTTGGCCACCCAGGCTGGAATACAGTGGCTTGCTCATCGCTCACTGCAGCTTCATCCTACTGGGCTCAAGAGATCCTCACACCTCAGCCTCCCCAGTGGCTGGGAAAACGAGCATGCACCACCACGCCCAGCTGATTTTTTAAATGCTTATTTTTAATAGAGATGGGGTTTTTCCATGTTGGTCGGGCTGGTCTCAAACCCCTGACCTCAGGTGATCCACCCGCCTTGGCCTCCCAAAGTGCTGGGATTACAGGCATGAGCCACCGTGCCTGGATTTTTTTTTTTTTTTTTTT